CTATTTGATTGCCTTATTAATAAGCATTGTTGTGTGTTTGACTTTCTGTTTCCAACTTGGTATACTCAGTGGCGGGATCGATTAGCTACTGCCCTGCATAAACTGAAGGTTGGAAGGTCGGCAGAGCAAGTCCTACACCCAGTTTCCAAGACTAATGGAAGTGTAGATGATAAAGATGAGCTTCCAGTTATTAAGGTACTTGTTTATTCCTGTGTATTTTGATTTCTGGGAACATTAATTGGAGCTTTTGGTAATGGCTTTAACAACTTACAGGACAAGGAACCTGCAGTTAAAGAGTCTGATGCTGAGCACCGGAATGTAGGAAGGAAAAGATCTGGGGTTGAGGAAAGTAGTGATCTGCCTGGAGGTGATGATGTGTGTGGGAAGCGTTCCAGATCAATGCCTAGTGTTTCTGAGGAATCAACGAAAGAGTCAAATAGGAATGTCATTGTGTCTCAAGATGGTAGTCGTTCAACTGGATCTCCTAATAATAAAGCAGATAGTGATACAGGACCTGTACAGCAACTCGTTGCCATGTTTGGTGCCTTGGTTGCTCAGGGTGAAAGGGCTATTGGATCTTTGGAGATTCTTATTTCTAGCATCTCTGCTGACTTGCTGGCTGAAGTTGTCATGGCTAATATGCATTACCTTTCTCCTAACCGCCCTCTAGCTGAAGGAGATGAAGAATTGGTGTTGGACATGAGTATAGTTGGCAGCGAATCGCAAGTCAAGTATCCACCATCCTTTTTAGCTGGTGTGCTCTCACTTTCTACTACTTTTCCCCCGATAGCTTCGTTAATAGATTCTCATCAGTCGGTTTCGGATGATTCAGTGGTAATGACTTTCCCTTCATTTTCTTCTTCCTTTTTAAGATCTTTTCCTGTTCCTGGTCAATAGTTGTAATGTCACATGGTAGAATTTCAAGGCTCCTTTCGAACTTTCTCTCTATATAGAGAAAAAATATTTTTAAATTGGAATTGTTTTCTTTGAAATTTTCTATATCACTGTCATGTTTGCTGAAATGGTAGAAATCACGGGCCGAGGAGGAATTGCATACTAGTAATGCTGATGACACAACTTTTGGGGCTGAAGATACAATATTGCCGCCTGATTTACTCACATCTTTTAATGTTGTTTCCTCTGGGATGGAGCTGGGTGATTTGGCAATTCCATCTGATATCCATGAGGATCTGGGGAATGAGATACCTGGCTTGGATTCCTCTGCTCAGCAGGATGGGCTCTCAGAAACCCTGGTTACTACTTCATCAGCCTTCACTGACACGGAGGATGGTGGTCAAGAGCAGGCTATGGTTTTGGGAGGAAAATCAGCCGTAGATGTGATTGTTTCAGTATCAACTGATAGATCTGAGGAATTAAGTCCAAAAGGGGCTGCAGTGGATTCCAACAGCCTGGTCTCATCAACAGCAACTTCAGCAAGTTTGCCTTCTCCACTTGTCCTGCCCAAGATATTGGCACCTGTCATTGAGCTTCCTGAGCAGCAGAAAGATAATTTGCAAAAATTGACTTTCATACACATTATAGAGGCACAGAAGCAAATTACAGTATCTGGAGCTTCACAAGTCCGGTTCTCTCTACTTGCTCACTTAGGAGTGGAGGTAGTAATTCTGATTAGTTGCATTTATATCATATTTTTCTAGGCGGCATGACGTGTTGCTACATCTTGGTTTGTTGTATGAAAGTTCATTGCTTAATGTTTATTTTGTTAGGAGTTTACTTGCCAACATTCTTCATCACGTGGAACAATGATAATATCTGTCAATTGTTTCTTTAGTTTTTGTGGAATCTGTAGTTACTATTTTATTTTGTCTGGAACAAATGAATTCTACAAAAATTTCGGAATTTATTTCTAAATATTAGTTATTTTTTAAGTTGTTTCAAGAATAAAAATGTAATGCCAAATAAATTCTAAATGGAATTGAAAAAGTCAATTCATAATTTTATTAAAATTATGAAGTTTAAAAATGACACATGCTGATTTGAAAGAGAAGTAAGAACTATTATCTCAAAAAAAAAAAGAGAAGTATGAACTATAAAAATATATTTTGAAATACAAAGAGAACTTCCAAAACACTGTTTTTGGGCTAAGAATGCACATTAAAAAATATGTTGAGTTTTATAAATTCTTTTATGAGTTTATGATTTATTTCAAGCATAAAAGTTCATGTACTAATAAATTTCTTGTAGAATTCATTTGACAATGAAATAAATGTCATTGTTCATTTGTTCCAAATTGAGCCTTCATAACACAACATAGCCTTTTCTGCACTTGCTTACAATATATTGTCAGAATCTCTGTCATGTCTTACAAGGATTTGTCTACTGGACACTGTATACTGCAACATTCTGATCAGTGGGCCTGTACTTGTGGAAGAAAGCTTCATGTTAATGGATGGAAATCTTATTCTTTCTCTTTTTACTTCCTTGTTTACCTCTATTAATCACTTGGACTCGTCAGCTATTCATCTTGGAGTGCTTCAAAAAGCTTAGGTTTAATTCAGTAAGCATTCATTTTGGAATGTCTAATGGCTTACTATAAGTAATATTTTCTCATTGTTCCATTAGAAACTGAGTTTGTCTCTTCGTCTTCCTTTCTGTCTTATATTATCTATATGATACCC